AAATTTTTGTATGAGAGACTAACTTGAATTGTAAACTTTCACTTAAAGCACAATTAAAAAAAAAATTGTCACAGTAGTTAAAGAGCTCACTGTTCCTTGCCAAGCACAAAACACTGCCAATTTGCAGAGATAACTTAACCCCACCACCATGAGCCCTAACCATGCCCTTTACCAAGGCAAGCCACCTCAATGTTTATAGCTAAGATCAGAGCTGTGCTGCCCATTACAGGTGCCACTAGCCACATGTGGCTATTGAGCATCTGAAATGTGGCCAGATCCAACTGAAACATGCTCTACCGGAAGTGTAAAATAATCCCTGGGCTTTGAAGACTTAGTACAAACAGAAGAATGTAAAATGTCTCACTAATAATTTTTATATTGATTTCAAATACATTGGACATATTGGATTAAATAAAAAAATTATTAAATTAACTTCACTTGTTTCTTTCTGATTTTTTACTGTAGCTACTAAACCAAAAAAACCAAACCCATTGCCATCGAGTTGATGCCAACTCATAGTGACCCTATAGGACAGAGCAGAACTGCCTCATAGGGTTTCCAAGGCTGTGATCTTTATGGAAGCTGACTGCCACATCTTTCTCCTGTGGAGCAGCTGGTGGGTTCAAACTACTGACCTTTCAGTTAGAAGCCGAGCACTTAACCACTGCACTACCAGGGCTCCTTTATGTAGCTACTAGAAAGTTGAAAATTATATATGTGGCTCGGGTTACATTTCTATTGGATAGTGCTGGTCTAGAGGAAGGATAAGCAAGCAGCCTGCAGCAGCCACCAAGCCCTGGATGACTAAGAACTGGGCTGCAGGAAATGACAGGCAAAGAGAAGACAGCACGGAAGGCCCTGCTGAAGGACCACAGCCTGTCCCCCTAGCTGGCCTGCTGCTGGAGTCTAGATAAGAAATGAGAACAGACTGTTTGTTAAAAGGCAGAAAGAGGGGTGGAGAACAAGATAGAAGAGAATAAAAAAGCAGAGGCTGAGAAGAAGAGGAAAAGGCCAAGGAAGAAGAAATCCCACATGCATAATAGAAAAACTACCGCAGCCCAGAACTCAATATGTTAGCCTTTAATTATGAAAATGACATATGATCTTAAAACAGTGTTAAATTCAAAAGACAGGACTACTATTCCATCAAAGTAATTGTTTTCATTTAACTTATTTTTATCACATTTTTCCTCCTTGGATAAAATCATGCTGCATGATATTCAGCTATTATAATTCCAGATGTTAAAAAATGAAGGGACAAGGGAAGAATTCATGCGTACCAGAGTTGGTGAACCATCCAATAACTTAATCCTGGATATTTCTGCATGCTGTAACAGGAGAGTGAAAACATCTTGCATGGCTTCAACAGACCAAACAAGAAAAAACGGGCTTTTCCTTTAGGGTATGGGGAATACTTTTTTTTTTTTAGGCTATGGAATTCTTAAGCAGAAATCAAGTGCTATGGGAAAAGCAGGTTAGAGAAATAGAAACAGGGTAGGAAGTACATTGCTACAAAGTTCCCAGCTCTATCTGTAGCCCAGAGCCCTGGCAACTCACATAAAGTCAATCAGTTGGGCCAGAGAAACGCTTCTCTAACGTCAGAGGCTCTTGGAGATAAAGGGCCCTTCACAGCTCAGCCTGTCCTGCTGCCTGATTCAAAGATGGGGAGGATGGGGCCCGAAGGTGCCCACACTTGCAGAGACTATATGGTACTCCAAGCAAAGCTGTTTTATTCCAGTTTAGCAGTAACCATGTTGGTAGTTGTGACGTTTTACCAAGGAGACTGAGCCACTCATCAGCTAGTAGTAACTACCTATGTTTGAGTATTCCAAAACCAGAATAAAACAGCTTTACCAGTAGCTCCTAAAGCAGGGCACACACACACACACACCCCCCCCATGACCCAGCAATCCCACTGTAGGTATAGACCCATCAGAAATGCATACATTATATACCAAAAGGCAAGTACTAGAACGGTCACAATGGTGCTATTCATAATAGTCAAAAGCTGGAAACTGCCCAAATGTGCAATGACGGTACACAGATTAAGTAGGTGGTCTATTCACCCAATGGCCACTATCGGCAAGGAGAGTGAACACACTACAACCACAGAAACCTAACTTAGCTTAGAAAAGCAGACAGACACAGCAGGATTCCATTTACAGGAAGCACGAGCACGGGAAGTCAGGGCAGCGTTATCCTGGAGCAGGTTGTGGCTGGAAGGGAGCACAGAGGCAGCTCTGGGGTTCCAGCATCTTCTGTTTCTTGATCTGAGGGCTGAGTGCACAGGTGTACTCAGTTTGGAAAATCCACTGAGCATTACACCTATGGTGTGCCTACTTTTCTAGTATGTATGCCATACTTTAAAAAAAAAAAAAAAAAAAGCTCCGTCAAGTGTCTAGATAAGACAAGCGTGGCAGTGTCCTTGAACTCCTAACCTCATTTTTCTCCAGCTCTCTTACACATCTCAGTCACTCCCCCTCCACACTTGTGCTTAAGCTGAGTCTGGCTCCTTGGAGAGCCCTCTTGCCACCAACCCACGTACGGCTTCCTCCCATACTAGGCCTGTGATGATTCACTTTCTCTTCAGGATGCCTTTGCTAACTTATGCCACCCACACTGATCAAGTTCTTGCTTCTTCCTCAGCAGCTAGGGAGTTTGTATTGGCATCAATGTATGTACTATACAATCTCAGTTGTTTCATTTCTGCCAAGGCTTCCCAGCTAGACTGAAAACATGGACAATGCCCTCTGGGAGCCATCTCAGTCCTCTGTGGTCTGCATAGGAAGCATGGATTAAATCGTTTTCATGTGCAACAAGGGTGCACAGGGTGGGCCTCCCCCTTGTCCCAAGAACTGCTGGCTCCAAGAACCTGCGACAGACCCCCACAAAGGACCCCAGAATGTCTTTTCATTGCCCCTCCACCCCTCAAGAGCCAACCTCCTAAATAAACTCATCCTCACCATAGCCAAACAGCCCAGCAAGGGAAGCAGGAAAGAACCGGAGGAGGCAAGTCAAGGAACAAGGAGTCTGTTCTTCATCAATAATTGTCTGCCTTTAAAATTCACCACTATTCTATTTTGATAACACGTGACAATTTGGCAGTTTGTGCTAGTATAAGAATCTTGCAAATGGAACAGTTGGAGGGCAAAGTCACAAATGCAGGTTTTTATACTTGTGAGAAAAATGAACAAATCTGTCTCAGAAGAAGTATAGTCAGAATGCTCCTTAGAAGCGAGGATGGCCAGACTTAGCCTCACATACTTTGGACATGTTATGAGGAGGGACCCGTCCCTGGAGAAGGACATCATGCTTGGTAAATTAGAGGGTCAGCAAAAAAGTGGAAGACTTTCAACAAGATGGATGGACATGGTGGCCGCAACAATGGGCTCAAACATGGCAACAATTGTGAGGATGGCACAGGACTGGGCAGTGCTTCATTCTGTTGTATACAGGGTCTCTATGAGTTGGAACTCACTCAATGTCACCTAACAATATACTTGTCAGCCCCTCCCCCCCACCCATTCATAAGTCTCTGCATGCCTTCCCGACTGCAATCATTTCTTGCCTAGAGAAGAAACGGCTACTAATCATGAGCAAGAATATTCGAGGTTCCTTTCATCTTACAGAAACAGCAGCACCAATGTAAAGGACATACACGGAAAAAACAAACCTCATGACATTCTGGTTACAGAGCGGTTCATATTCATCTTGTGCAAGCAAATGTTTGGAATTCAGGTGATCCGCGGCTCTCTGACTAGAAACATAAGGCATTCCTCTGAGCTGTCAAGCCTCCAGAATTATACAAGTGAAACCACAAACTGTCCTGGCTGTATTTGAGTCTGTGCCCCTTCATTCAATAGAAATGGACTTCTCTGCCACAGTTCCACAGTTTCAGGGCACGCATCCTTCTGTGGAAGAGGATTAGCACTCATAAGCCAAGAGGAGGTCTGGTTAAAGACCTTCCTCTCTGTAACCCCCAGGCCTGGCACAGCGCTCGGCACAAGGAGGGGGCAACCCATGGGCGCCAGAAAAAGCGCAGCACCCTAAGACCATTTTCTCTTTTAAGTGAACGATACCTAATTAAGCAAAGGCCATGTACATGAATCAAGACACAAGGGGATGAAATTTGCCTTTCAAGACACCTAGCGATTCTGCAGGGCCTTCTTCATTTGTAAACACACATTTTGTGGTCAGGACCATGGAACCGGGGCTCTAGAAGGGACCTCGGCTATCCGCAAGTCAACCTCCCGGTTCAGACGCGGAGACCGAGCCCACAAAGCGATCAGTGTCCGCCAAGGTCACCCAGCTGGTGGGCGGTAAGGGCAGGAACCCGCCTCTCTCTACTCTCGGGGGCTCCCAGGAGATGCTCCTCGAAAAGCTTGCGTTAATTACACCTTAAAGGCGCATAATGAATACATTCCTCGTCAAGCCACTGCTTATAATTCGGAAGAAAGCAAAGGACGCCAAAACGTGTCTCCTCCGCAAGCTGGCTGCAGAGAGCGGGCGGGGAAGGTCACTGGCAAATTTCTATCAGCAGACACTACACATCACGCCCTCCCGATGGATGCAAAGGGCGGTTTCGGGAGCCGCTAGGTACTCCGCTGAGGGTTCCCCTAGTCCTTCGCGGGAAAACGAGTTAACTCGGCCGTGCCGGCTCGGAAGCTTCCAGCAATGAATTAAACCCCGAGCCGCAGCAGAAAGCGGGGAATAAAAGGGCCACTGCGGCAGGACCTGGCACCCCAGCCGGTCCCCAGACGCCTGCAACGACGTGATGCGCCCACACCTGCGCGGGCAGTGGCGCCCTCTACCCCTTCCGCGCGGCTCCGGGCCACGAAACTCGGCCAGCCCCCGCGGAGGGCGTCTGGGGCACCGCACCCCGGGAACTGCCGCGGGGGGCTGGGCGGAGCCGTGGGGCCCGGCGGGCGGGGGCAGGGACCGGTCGCCGCTGCAGCCCCCGGCGAGCCCCGGCCACACCGAGGAGGGGGCTCGCCACGTACCTCGGCCGGCAGGTGCCGCCGCCACCTTCTCCGTTCGCGGGTGCAGGGGATGTCGCTTCACGCCGTCGGCCGACCTCGACCGCATACTAGGGAAAGGGCACCCGCGGGCCGCCAGCCCCCTGCCCCGAGCCCCCGCCCGGCCTGGGCGCCGCGTTCTAGCTCATTCAGACCCCGGCCGCCGCTCCCCGCGCGGATGCGGAGGAGGGGCATGGGGGCGGGGCCTCGAGTCACGAGGGCGCGGGCGGCCAATCGGAGTGCGTGAACGGCTCCCGCGGCAGCTCCGCCCCCGGGACCGCAATCCCTCAGCCGGCGGGGGCTGGGGGAGCAGAGCTCCCCGGGGGCTGCAGGCTGTGCTCGGGCGGGGGTCCCGGGCACCCATGGCTCTCTCGAGCTCTGCGCGGTTCGATGGTGGAAGGAACAAAAGGACGTGGGGTTTTACAGCGTATAGGAATCGTAGATGCGGAGCTGGTGAATGAAGAGGCTTTAGGCAGTCACGTGCTTTATTCTCCAGCACATCCCCCAAGACCGACACGGTCTGGTGTCCTTGGGGGTCGCTAGACCAGCACGAGGACAGGCCGACCGTACCTGGAGACTATCAGAACAGCTTTTTATTTTTCCACGTGTAAGAAAGAGAGAGAGAATGCGCCAATTATCCAGGGTAACCTACTAGTTTTAGAGATGGGACAAGTGAGGCCCGGAGAAGGAAGGTGGGTTGTCCTAGGTCATTGGGGCAGTTAGTGCAGAGCCAGGATCAGAACCTGGGCTTAGAACGCCCACTGCCATACCTCTGAAGTCCCCCTTGATTCTGGGGAGAAAATGCCACACGATTTTAAAAAGCGTAAGTATTACTGAATTCTAAAAAAGAGTTTACAGCACTGATAAGTTATTTCCTTAACACAGCTGAGCATGTAGTATGTGCCGGCAACTTTCCTGTGCTTTAGGACTTGCTGACGCTTCAGTGAAGCCAGTGAAGTTGTTCTGCTTTCAGAATTTCCTTTAAGGTTGGCAGTGCCTCGTGGCTTTTATGCCTGTGGTAATGGTCCATTTTGAAAAGGATAATCCTAGACACTGAGCCAAATGTATTTGCATGAACTGAGAGCCTTGTCACTTTTTCTTGCAACAGCTTTCACAGGACAGCTGGTTTGGAGATGTCTCTTTTCTCTCAATGAGGGTAGGGGTGCTGGAAGAAATACAGTATCTGGGGAACAAAAGTCAGGAGGGAAAGCTTTGGAAAGGAGAGGGTGGGAAGACTGCTTTCACAAAGGGATTTTGCCACAAAAACATTTCTGGATTAAACTGAGATGAGGACACTAGAGCTTTTGAAAATACCAGAGGAAAAGCTGTCACTGGGAGATCTACATCCAGTGGGTTGGCCAAGGCAGGACAGGCAGAGCAGCTGCCTGGCTCAGTGACAGCTGCAAGGAAAATGCTGAGCACCTCATCCCCTCTTGGAGATCAGCCCCAGGTCTGCCTGCTTAATCAGACCATCATTATCTCTCTTTGCCTCAGCCGCTCCTTCTCTTTCTCTTTGCTCCCAGAAAAACCCTTGTCCCACTTGCCATCTTCCACTCTCTCTCATTTCCTCTTCCATAGAGCCAAGCCCTGCTATCAATGTAGCAGACATGGAAGTCAGCAGAAGCCTGGCTTGGAAGGGTGAGTGTACCGCGGGGGTGGGGAAGAAAGGGAACTTGAAGCTGCCTCCTGTCCCAGTCTAACAGGATAGCTGTTAAGGCTGCCTTGTACCCACTACCTCATTCATTCCACAACATGAGCACCCTACTTGCATATGGTGGGAAAAGAGGCTGACCTACTTGTAGGGTAAGAGATAAAGTGCAGCAAGATGAGCCCTGCCCCCAAAGTTTCCTTTTCACCAGCCACAGAGCCATCCTCAGCTATTGTTCTGTATTAAGACAGAGATCCTAGTCTAAAATTAGACTAGAATCGGCCACTAGATCTCAGAGCATTATCTGGTATCTCTCCAAGCTAGTGGCTGGTCTCAGAGAAGCTTCTGGCTACTGACTAACAGAGGGATCAGACTATGAACAGAGATAGTAACTATGAGGATGGCATGATTTTGTAGTTCTTTTTTACTTGCTTATGACTACTGTGGTCATTCTGACATCAGGCACTGGGGTTGCCCCGACACTCATTCCACCCTTCTGCTTTGTGCTGCAGCATGCGGTTTGGGTTATTTTGCTGCCCTGTCCACTCTATGGGTGTGCACTGATTGGTTTAAGCCAGCAGTCCCCAAAGTATGGTCTGTGGACTCCTGGGGGTCTCTGAGGGCCTTTCAGGGAATCTGTGAAGTCAAAACTATTTCAGGATAATCTAAGACATTATTTCCGTTTCTCACTGATGGTGCAAATGGAGGGCAAAACTGCTGGCACCTTCACAGATCAGACAGTGGCACCAAACACTACTACTATTTTTCACCACCACACACTCATGGTTCAAAAAAAAAAAATTTTTTTTTTAGTTTCACTTAAGAACGTTCTTGATGCAGCAAAAAATTATTAATTTTATTAAAATGTCAACCCAGAGTATCTTTTTAGTATGTTATGAAACAACATGGAGAGTGCCCCAAAACACTGGCTACAACCTGAAGTATGATGGTTGTCTCAAGGAAAGACACTTGTGCAATCATGCGAGTTGCAAGCTGAACCCGTGTCTTACTCATCTAGTGCTTCTATAGCAGAAATACCACAAGTGGTATTCAGGGCATCAGCTCCAGGTGAAGGCTTTCTCTCTCTCTGTCGGCCTTCTTCTCTTCAGTGTTCCCCCGGACTAGGAGCTTCTCTGTGCAGGGATCCTGGGTCCAAAGGACACACTCTGCTCCTGGCACTGCTTTCTTGGTGGTATGAAGTCCCCCTGACTCTCTGCTCACTTCTCTCTTTTATATCTCAAGACATTGCCTCAGGATACAATCCAATCTTATAGACTGAGTCCTGCCTTCCTAACATAACTGCCACCCATCCTCCCTCATTAACATCACAGAGGCAGGATTTACAACACATGGGAAAATCACGCAATATGGGGAATCATGGCCCAGCGAAATTGATACACACATTTTTTGGGGGACATAATTGAATCCATGACAACAGCTACTTTTTTCTTAGAATACTATTTTTACTTGAAAAAAATGACCGACAAGATAATTGGTATTCAGACTTGAGTATTTCGTAAACATTTTCTTGAAAATGAAAGAAATGAAACTGTCATTTCAAAGAAAACAACTGACAGTTTTTGTTGCCAATGATAAAAAATATTCCAGCTTTCAAAAGAAATTTAGAATTTTGGATAACTTGTATCTGCCACCATGAGCTTGACAGCTTCCCACTTAAAAGATTTTCCTGATGAGATGGACAGTGATATTAACAAATGTGATTTTGGATGTCGTATAATGAAATACGTCTACATTTTGAAGATCTGCATTTAGCTCAGTGAGTCAATGTTTTCCAAATGACTAATGCATGATGTCACAGAATCGTGCACGGGCAAAAGCCCATTCCAAGTGCAACACAGTCAGTGGATTTTAAGTTAGAGGGCTGAAATGTTAATAGATAAGGTTTCAGATTCCACAGTGCAAAAAGATGTTTAAGAAACCACCTCTTGTAGAGGTTTGGTATAGTATCAGAGAAGAATATCTTAAAAGGCTATTAAAATACTCTTTCCTTTTCCAATTACATATCAATGTGAGGCCAGATTTTCTTCATCTATTTCAACCAAAACAGTTTGTAATCGATGAATGCAGAAGCAGCTATGAGAATCCAGCTGTCTTATATTAGACATTAAATAGACTTGCAAAAATGAAAAGCAATGCCATTCTTCCGACCATTTTTTGTTTTGGAAAACAGCTATTTTTTTTTAACATGTTCTGTTAAGATGTAATAGGTTTACTATTTTCAATTAATTAACAAATACTTTAAATTTTTCTGAGGTCTGATTTCCACTTTGGTAAATATCAATAGATTAAATCTAATTAAAAAAACTCTTTGGGGTCGTTAGTAATTTTAAAGAGTATAAAGGGGTCCTGAGAGCAAAGAGTTTGAGACCAGCTGGTCTAAGCCACCCAAGTAGTCTCATCCTCCTTGCCACTATGATTTGCTCATGGGTGGCCATGGGGACCAGATTGATTCAACCAGAGGAAATCCCAGGAATTTATCAAGCGATGGGGGAGAGATGCCCCCATTTCCTGCTAGAAGGGAGCCAGGCAGTAGGTAGCCTCAGAAGCTGCTGAGGAAGCCAGAAGCCATTTTGGAACACAAAAAGATCTTAGGAAGAGAGTAATGCTGCGGGGACCAGAGAAGAGAGGTTAGAAAGAAACCGTTTCCTTTATGATGTGGTTGAGTCACTAGATTAAACCAGTCCTGTAGCCCATCCTGCCTCTATGCATTTCAGTTACATGAGCCAATAAATTCCTCTGTGTGTTAAACTAGCTTGAATTGGGTTATCTGTTACTGGCAACCTCAGGCACCCTAAATGATTTACTGTGTACCTGCTTGTGCATATTTTTATTTAAACAGGTGCCTAAGGCCTCAGGATCATAAGCTTTCTACAGTTTACTCATTCAGCCATCATCATTGCCACACAGGTTAGCCTCTGAGATGAAGCTGAAAGGCAAAAGCAGGGACCTGGAGGCAAAGAACTAGCATAGGCAGGTTGGATCAGAAGTGTAAACAACATGTTTGAGAATAATAAGGAACAGTGACATCCACTGATTAGCAAGATTATAGAGGATTTTCATTTTCCTTTGCTTTTATGTTGAGAAAAAAATAGAACCTATATTATCATGTTTTCAATAGTCTACTGAATGGTGCAATCTTAGAGAGCCGGCTGGGTATCAGCATATGGCAAGAGAACACAGGCTCATGGGCTAAAATTGCTGTTGTTTTAGTTAACATCGAGTCAGTTCTGACTCATAGCAGTAAGGAATGAAGATGGGCCCCAAATCAAACTTCTTTCATTTACCGTTTTGCCAAGAGCCAACCTCAAAGATTCAAGAGGTTAAACAAGAATCCCCAAGGGTTAAAGAATCATTATGAGCCCTGGTGGCGCAGTGGTTAAGAGCTTGGCTGCTAGCCAAAAGTTGGCAGTTCAAATGCACCAGCTGCTCCTTGGAAACCCTATGGGGCAGTTCTACTCTGTCCTATA